GGCGGCGTTTGTCTCCACCGGTGACAAATCTCCCACCTCGTCTGGTTGTCAAACCTCGTCACTCGACTACCACCGTTTGTCCTAACCTGCCTTTGGCCCTGCCCCTGCCCCTGTCCCTCCACCTCCACCTCCACCTGCGCATCCACATCCACCTCCTCCAATATCACGTGTGCGAGTCGCCAGGTGGTCTTGGTGTGCCGCGAGCAGGCGCGTTGGATGAGACGGTCGAAGGCGAACTCCAGACGCTCCCACTGTGGCGAGAGGGTGCTGCAGACGACGAGGATGAGAGCGAACAACGGCAGCGCAGTGGCCACGATGAGGAGGCGTTTGAAACGAGTGGAGAGTTTGACGTGTTTGTGGTGGGTGACGAGAGGTGTGGCTGGTGGGTTGGCGAGGGAGGGGTAGACGAGCAGTTGTGCTCCCTTCGAGGGGGCATTCTCGTAGGCCTGCGATCCCTGACGTGAGTAGCCGTACGACCACGGATCCATGCGCAGTGACGAGGCAGTGGCGCAAGCCTCGTCGTGACACGCAGACCTGCGTGCGTGTGTGCGTGGGGTCGTGTGTGCGCTGCGATTGGACGAACTCGCCTCCTGTCATTGGAGTAGCAAAAAGCCTCCTAAAACCTTCCACTTGATTACATTATCCCTCCCCAAGGAAGCCTTTCTCTTACAGTGAAGGAATTGTCTTTCCATCAGTAAGGGAATCACAGGGTAAAGGCTCAACAATATACACGTGTTGCTCTTTTACTTAATGACACTTTTTTCGCGGTCGTGACTTCCGTCGAGCACGTAGAGTGAAAATTATTTTGTTGTTATTCGACTGAGGTGGAAATATCTGGTGCTTCCTCGTTCCTTTTTATGCATAAGAATACTTATTTCCTGAGGAAAATTTTGGTGTGGCATGAGAGGGGAAGGAAAGAGCGTACAGTAAAAAGACTTGGTCGCTCCTTTAGTCATGACTTGCCCGCCCGGTTCCAAATTGCGGAGAATAAAGACGCAACCTTTTGGGCTGTCGACGAGAGGTATTCATTTCACTTTTCACATCGTATCACCTAATTTTGACGGACGCCTTATTAGAAATACAGTCCAAAAAATCTCTTATTATTGTTATTTTCACTAATGCTTTGCTATGCACTTCAGCAACATTTGCAGGCTACTGTGCCTTTGAATTAACGCAGGCAAAATCGTCGAGCACGTCAGTTGGAAGTGCCCGAAGGGCGAGACAGGACACGTGTCTTTTATGAGAGGCTAAAGAAGTGCTCAGACAAGAGGCGATACTGTGAACGAAACGAGGAAATGTAATTGTCATTGACTTGAATGGCATGGCAGTGCTTGGGAATGGGACGACTATTGAGGCCGTCGACTCCTCACAAAGGACTCGCTTTTGCAGTATCAAATGGAAGAACAGCTATGTTAGTTAGAAATTCAGGAGAAGTGAACTTCTAATTCCTGAAACCCGAGTCAGAATCTGATCTCATTTGCATGGTGAAGGTGGATGAGGATCTGCCAAGGAGAACTTTCATCAACATGAATGATAGAACAATTTGTGGATTCTCCCAAAAGGGGGAAGTGGCTCGGCGGGCATCACATAAATTCATGGATGACCTTCACGATTCCCACTTCATTAAAACTCGACCTTCGCTTGTTTATTGTCATGGCACTGACTTTGCCCGTTTCCCTTTCGTCATGATCGTGCCACTGTGTCCCTCGTATCGCATGGACCAAATAATGCGCAAGAGGAGAATCAAAAATTTCTGCTCTCTCAGTAAAGGCATTCCAAGTTGGGAGCAGTTTGTGCACTGCACGGCTTGCATTTCTTGTTATCTCACCCTAGTCGAACATGTGATTGGCTCTTCCCTACGCTCCGGTGGTTGCTTCAAAGTGGCCACCTCATGACCGACGACGCAGCCATTAAATCATGCAAGTCCTGAAGTTGAGGACACAATCACATGATAAACTCGCTCACCGCCTTGGTGTTAAAGCAGAATAAAGGCTTGGATTAAGGTATGATTCTCTAAATTTGTGTAGCCGCGATCAGTCACTTTGGGTCGGAGTCTGAGACTACTGCCTCACTCACAACCGCCCGTTCCTCTGGACGTAGGCATTCCTCCAAATGGTGTCTGCCTCGGTTTCTGACACTTAAAGCAGTTGAGAAAAAGTGAAAAGTTCAGTGGTATTTTTCTGAGGGCTGGAAATTAAAACTCAGTCACGTCATCTTGAGGAGACGTGGTGTTCTGGTCGGTTTTTGCAGTGCGAGAGCTTGTTGGAGTCAATTTTGCTGCTACGACGCGACCCTCATGCCAACTCCGTGCACTGGATGCCCAACTGCGGAAGTGGAGTTTTGCACTTCCGTCCTGCTTAACAACGGAAGCATGAGGATCTGCAAATGTAGTCGATTTTTCCTTCCTGTTGATGGCTATTAGTCAAGAGTTGTTATGCAGACTTCCTTTCCTCATTATCATTAATTATTCAGAATGAAAAGTACTGCCTTCCTCGTGAGGCTGCTAGAAAGCAAGGCAGTGACAGCGTCCACACTCTCACTTGCATTCACGGCCACCTGCCAGGTCATATCGCGTTACTTTTTTTGCGGAAGACGCTTTGAATTCCTCCGGATGCCTCAAGTGTTGAGGGGAGGGAGTGAGACGTGCCTCCTTACATTTGTATTGGAGGACTCCGCCCAAATTGAACTCCACCAGCTGGTTCTGATGGAAAGTATTTTTTATACGATGGAAGAGGAGGACCATTTTCACCTCCCACAAGCCCTACAGCTAAACAACGGTCGCTCTGATTAAAAAAACACTTGATAGGGGGTCAAGTGGACATGACACATCACATTACAGATGAGGATGAAAATGGTCTTTGGTTGAAAATACATACTAATCAGTTTTGAAGAAGGCAGATGTAATTGGAAATCCTGCATCCGCCTTTGCCCACCCACCAAACGCTTTCTCGCTGTCTCACTGCCCACGACACCTCCCAGCCAAATTCGGTGATTGCTTCTTTTAACGGTCTTAACTCTTGTCCTATGCATGGCAGGTTGCCACGATTCTGCTAGACCACTTAATAAAAAACAACATGGAAACCTTTTGTGCTTTCATCATATTTTGCGCAGTCTGTGTGGGTCACAGAGTTCCAGACTAAATGAGAAGCTGTAGCAAGTTAACTTCATCATCTTCTGAGAGGTGTCAATGATCAGCTGTCTCGCCGGACTCATCAACTGCACCCACACATCATCTCCACTGCCAACTGGAAATGTACGCTAACGCGTCTCTGGGTGGAAAATTCTTAAGGAAAACTGAGGCAAATCACCTCGAAATGTCGTATTTTTATCTCCCCTTTTAAATGTTTTCCTTCACACACTGTTGTATGCAGAACATTTGACAGCATTTTGGTGTCTATATTTTGCTAGTCTCATTTCAAACATCTTGAATTTAATTACGGAATGTTCCATTTTTATGTTTTATGTTACAATAGAATTCAAAATAACGGAGACGATTGTGAATGGAGAAATGTAGTAAATGGGTGTCAGACCAAGCATGCATTCCATTAACGAAAGGTAAAGCGCTTGTCCAGGCATAATATTAACAATTAGCTGTCATTGCCCTAAAAAGCTCTTTAGGACACCATAAAGGAATCTTCTCTATGGATTCTCGGCTCTTTTATTGATGAATAATGCAAAGCAAAGCTGGGCAATTAATAGGCAGGTTTATGGAACGGACATCTTTGTTAGCGTCGTAAAAAAATAATTACTTTAATAGTGCTAAGTGTAGTAGGTGAATGCAAATTTAAAGCTGTTAGAATACGAAGGCAGTTTGCAGGTGAAGGACTTTCGTTGTTGTCATTTTGTTCTCTCCTACTGCGATGCCAATTAGAGTGCAATACCGGGTCTGTTACTGCAGAGTTTCCATTAATATGCGTTGATACACTTTAACCTCTCTAAGCACAAACACTTAGGCGCGTCTGACGGAATGGTGGCAGCTAGCTCAGGAAACGACAGATTCAAGGAACTTAAAGACTTTCGTTAAAGAGAAATTTTATTTCTACTGATAATGTTTAGGTAGTTAAATTATTAACAGTTGTAACAACGCATTAATTTTATCCACTTTTAAAAAGGGTTCGTTAATTTTTTATTGAAACATTTATAAATAGCCAAATTGCTGTATTACGCCGGTGTTGTCGTTATAAGCCAGGCTTTTACTCAAGCGAGGATAAATTAATGGAAGTTAAGAAGTGGGATGGTATCCTGTGGCGACAAATGGCCATTACGACATTCGATTGCACAGATATGAGAGCTCTTAGAGCTATAAAACTCAAACATCCAAGGCCATGGTTGTTTTTCAATTAAGATTTGATAAGAGGTGCCACTTAAATAGCACCTAAGTAGGATTAACTTCCTTGTGCAATAAGTAAACCGTATTCCTTGGGTTCACTTTTTGCCTCCGCTTTCACATATTCAGATTTAAAAGCTAATTGTTCAGCTTCGTGTCCTAATGCATGCAATAATTCACTGATGCAATTTATGGTAAGAGAAAAAAATAAGATGCACAAAATTGGAGCCAGCATAATATACATGCACTGAAAATAGTAAAAGTACTGCAAATATGACTTCAAAAGATGGGGTGCAGACAGAGAAGGAGGGAGAGGGGGCGGAAAGAAAAGTACGAAAGGAAAATGGAAGGGAAATACGAGTTAGATCAGATCATGGTTTTTGTAGTCTCCACGTAGAGGACTTGTTTCAGCACAAACCAAACGCATGTGGAAACCAAAAAGACACCAGTCACGGTCCAGTTGACGTACACTGGCCATCCATATTGCACGCGAATCAGAGTTGGATCGTATAGCTACAAGGTAATGCACGAAGTAAAAGGGGACGGCAAGTCCTATTGGCATTAGTGCTCTGCTACGATAAAAGTGGAATCTCCAAAATGTGCTGAAGTACGGAAGATGGACAAGGAAAGGGATTGAATCCTTTTCACACTCCCTTCATTCTGCCGCCCCCTCTTTTCTGGCCCAAGCGAGTTGCATGCATGCAAACTCAAAAGTTTGGTGAGAGATGATGTCTGCCTTTGGAGGAGAGATTATTCCACCCATTTTCGGGAGGACCATTTGAAGCTAATCGGCGAAAGTGAACCTCAAAACACCGTCGCCATCTCGCACTGCGCCGCTCTCTGTTAGCCATTTTGAGGCGGGAAAGGGTAAAACACTTCCCGGTGAAGTCTGTTAAAGAAGTAAAAAAGCACTTTCGCGCTCCCTTTTGCATGCTGACAAATGCCAGCGGTGACATTTGCTTCATTGACTGGTTATTTTCAATTTAATTCGAACGATGTGGCACTTCACCTCTCACTATATCAAATCCCATGAGGTACGGTAATTTTAGTTTTAAAATGTACAATTTTTTCAAAAGTGGATCATTTTTAGATCATCATTGCTAAAATTCCGTCAAAGAGGGACGGTTGTACTACCTCGCGTGTCTTTAAAAAATTCACTCA